TGCCTCTACCTCTCATCTCCCATTAGGGGACTGCCTCTAGAGGCTTGTGCTACTGCAGCTGGGTTTTGCGTGGGTTCTAGAGATCCAAACACAGGTAACCAGGCTTGTACAGCAAGCACTTCATCCACTGAGCCACTATCTCCATCCATCTCCTCACCCTTGCATTATATTTCTGTTGAACAGTGTGGCTGATTTATGTACGGTTCCCTGTCACTCAAGGGTATAAAACTCCTTGAGTCCATCTTCTTGGGCCCTAATGATAGAAGAAGTTCAAAGAGGGAAGAAGTGTCTATTCGGCAATGTGGGAGTACATATAAACAAGCATAAATAAGTGTATATATTGCCTTCCATAGTTGCAAGGCTTAGAGTATGCAGAAAAACAGCAGGGAGCCTTTGGAGGGACTCTCAGGAGCTCATTAAAGTCAGCTGACAATCTATAAATGCTGCACTTAACTCTGGACATGGCATCTGTCATATTGCCACTGGCATTTTAGATTTGTGTCTTTCCTCTCCACCCCCAATCCCTTAGCACTCAGGCTCTGGCCTCCTCATAGGGGACATCTACACTTGCCCATCTCCAGCACCCAGCTCAGACTCCACAGTTCCCATGAGCCATTGCTGCTTACCCTTCTCCGGCCCCTGTATCTTCAGCCACACTGACCAACTCTTGTTCTCTCCAGGATAAACTGGTGGTTCTGTGCCATTCCCTACAGTGTTCTCATCTTCATCTATGACGAAAGCAGAAAACTCATCATCCGTAGACGACCTGGTGGTAAGGCTGCCCTGGACCTTGCTCTTGAGTGGTCACCACCCCATCTGGCTCCTCCAGACCCACTGGCTGTCTATCTCACCGTCTGTCCTTTGCTCTTCCTGGACCCCTGTCCTCTACTCCTGATTCCACGTGTTCCTCCCAGTGCTTGGGGGCCCTGTTCCATGTGGCAGGTGGAAAACCTACCCCTTTTCTGCTGAGCTCCCCTGCACGCCACTCCTGATGACCCCCGTGGTTCATGTCCTCTCTTCTCCACAGGATGGCTGGAGAAGGAAACATACTACTAAATGCAACAGAGAAAAATCTTCACATGACACTGGTCTCACAAAAGCTGAGGCTGAGTGTGACACAGCAACTGAGATAAAGCCGAGCAGGGGGGGGGGGGGCAGAGACCCTGGATTGAATCTACTCTGGATGAGGGAGAAGTATTCCTGGGGCTGGACCAAGAAGAGCATGTAGTAGGAGGTGGGGTGGGTTAGGCAAAGCCCAGCCTGCTCTGCCTGGAGCCCGGTGAGGAGGTGCAGAATCTTGTTACATCCAGTAGCCAGTCTAGAGAGTAAACATTTGGAACAGCCCTCACCTAACTGGTGTGTAGAGGTCTGATTTTGGGGGGAATGGAGGGTGCTGTAAAGCTCCCTCCCAACACCTACATTGTACCTGGCCAAGGGAGGCCTCCGGGGATCTGAGAGGATGCTGGGAAGGTACTAGAATCAAGCATCTGTGGCTGGGTGTGTTGGCACAGACCCTTAATTACCATCATTTGGAAGGTAGAGGCAGGTGGGTCTCTGTGAATTTGAGGCCAACCTGTCGATGTGGTGAGTTCCAGGCCAGACAGGGCTACACAGTGAGATCCTGCCTTTAAGCAAGGAAGATTAAGCATACTTGTTGCTGAAAGGTATTTCGCATTTTAAGATCAGTCTCTGATGTCCTGTCAGTGTAAGGGACAAGCAAATGCCCCCAAAGTCTAGCTAGAACCAGCTAGGGAAAGGGAGACAAGAGAAGACCAGCTGAGCTGCATCTTGTAGAGGTACAACAGCACCCATATCTGTTCCCATATTTGGGACTTGTGGAGCCAAATAATCTAGACTCTGACTTGGATTTCCTCAGGCCAGACTACAGGCCACAGCATTGTTGCTCTAAAAGAGACCTATTGATATCAGGTCCAAGGTTCAATGACTTGGGAATGGTCACCTGGAGTCGGGGACGGGGTCCTCTCCTCTAGGGCAGACTGGTGGTCCCTGTCTGTTAGCCCTGTCATCAGGACAGTCCCACCCTACGTCATCCTTTAGCCTTTTATCTCCAGTATAACCTTGAAACAGGCTGTAAGTATGCTAGGCAAGTATTGTACTGCTGAGCTACACCAGAACCCTGAACCCAGGCTTTTCTGGTCTGGTCTTAGTAAAAAGGTGCAAAGAGCCTCTCTCCTACCCTCCCTCCTCCCTAGGTTCCTCCCCACTTTGTCTCCCCCTCATGAACTCGTTTCCGCTCAGCGAGCACCTCTGCTTGGCTCTGTGGCTCTCAGTTCATTCTCAGGTACCACTTAGAGGTATCTGCCCCACATGACACAGAGAGATGCTGAGGAAAACCTTGAGGGAACAAGCCAGCACTGTTACCAAAGTGCAGCTTAGGATCAACTTCATGCCTCCTGGCATCGTAACAAGGAACTGTACCCACCATAGCTCTCAGAATTATATTCCCACCACTCCACTCTGTTTCAAAGGAGGAGAAACTGGAGCCTCATTCCAGAACATGTACCATTAGACACTTTTCAAACTGGAACCAAGCATGGTTACAAGCAAGTGGGATAATGGCAGAGGAGTGTGGATCTGGAGAATGGGATCTTTTGCAGGCTGGCAGTAAACAAAACAAAAACAACAAACAAAAACCCCTCCAGTTGGAAGGTGCTGCCAGCACCTCTTTCTCTGTATCAGGCTTCTTTCTCAGAGGGTTCCTTCCACTCCTTTTCTCTTCCAACACAAGGTCTCCTGGGGACAGAGCTCTATCAGTCTGGGGTCCACCCTGGCTGCTGACAGGGCTGAAACAGACCCTGGAAGATGGAAGCAGGGGTGGGGAGGGATGTGAGTGAGATGGGGAGGGGGAGCGAGGGACCAGCTCCTCAAGTTTCAGTAGTGAGGAACTTTGAGTGTCTGGTGGGTTAAAAATACTGACGTCCCAACTCAGGGTCATTTGATACGGGTGGCTGGGACATGTTAAATCCAAAGGCTTGCACGCAGCATAGAGTAAAGCACCAGAGAGAGGAGGCCTAGAGTGGTCATGTGGGGCCTGGAGAGGGAAATGGAGCCAGAAAGGGCCACCGGTGAGCAGTGGTGGCTGCACAGGAGGAGCTGAAGGGGCCGGGGTCACCGTACAGTCCTGTCTCATTCCAAAAGTCCAGTTCATGATGGAAGAAGTCTAATGCTCCATTGTTTGTTCAGACATTTACCTCTTCCCAGACCCCTGCAGAAATGAGACACCAAGGCTGCACCTACTCAGGGGCAGGCCTGCCCATCACTCCTGGGTGGCCTTTGCAGCCAGGGTCGTAAGCTCTGCCTGGCACATCAGGCACTCCCCTGGGAGATCGAGACGGGATTCTGAGATCTCCCCAGCTCCAGTGCCATGCTCTGGCCTCTCCTGCTACAGTGACAGCTGTCCCTCTTGTATCCACTCCTGCCAGTTCTTAAAGATAAGTTAGCTGCATAAGGTCTGCCCCATGGCCATGAAAGAAGTTCTTCGGCTAATATAACTTCGTGTTTCTACCTAGATGCAAAATAAACACTACCCTTTGAGAATGAGAAGCAGACGGGGACAAGGAAGGCTGACTTTATGTGATCTCTTCATTGATTCCCTCTCGCCTCAGTTTACCTATATAGTACAAGCCCTAGAAGCCCATAAAAGGGGTCTTGATAGATACTTCCAGCTAAATTCAACTCTTCGCCTCCAAGCGAGGAGCCTGAAACTACAGCTCTCACACCTCCAGTTCTGCTTTGGGCCTCAGACACACAGCCTTGGGTAAGGCCACAGGGCCCAGCTCTTCCTGTTTACCTCATGCTAATTTCCCATATTTATACTGATTATCTGTGCCTTATCAAAGACATAGGAATAAACAGTAGCTAATAGCCCTCTGTAGAATCCTACAGCATGGGGAATCCTCTGAGCCCACTGTGTCCTGGAAACAGAGTCCCACAGGAGCAAACAGAGAGCACCCAGAGGAAGTGCCCCCTCCCTCACAGTGGTCCTTCCAGGCAGAAAGCCCCAGTCCACATCCCTACAGGATGGACTATGGGCCAACCCTGTCCTTCCCCCTACATTCCTGACTTGGGACTGTTGAGTGAAGCAAAGGAAACTGGCTGGAGTCAAGCCAGGTTTCTGGTCTTGGACTCCACTCCATCTTTTATTCAGAGAATGATCTCATCCTTGGTCCACATTCTCTAAAGGGAACTGCAGGGGGTTTCTTTTCTGGAGCCTGGAATGCACTTTTATTGCCTCCCCTCTCCACTGTAAGATCAAAGAAATAGACATCACCTACAGATGACTGCCAGATTTTAGGTGTCAGAAGAAATACCATATTTCCACTCCCCTTCTTCATCCTGCATTTTCAGTTTAGCCTCTGACCTATCCTGTGTCGTCCTCTTCACCTACATTTCTTTCTGATTAGCCTTGTCCTACCCTGGGATCCCCGGTTACCCCTCCAGCTCCCCTCCTCCAGCCCGGCTTCACTTACCCCTAACTCATCTGGTCTTATTTTTAGAACCGGCATCTCTCCCTTTCCCTTTCTTAATATGGCGATGAGCTCTTAGGCCTGCATGGGGCCAGGGGCTGAGGAGCCCTAGACACTGGGGGAGGGGGAAGGAAGGAGCTGCTGGGAGCCCAGGGAAGAGGGAGGATTCGGGCTCTCATGGAGCTGTCCTGGCCTCAGAAGGTTATCCATCTCCCCTGCCAACCACAGAGACATATTTAGACAGGGCCAGGTGGGGACAGAGGGGTGCCAATTTCAAGGGGGCAGCTCCGGTTCCCTCCCCGCCCCTGCTCCTGTTCCTCGTCCTGACCCTTTTTCACTTGGCTCTGTGGGCAGTTTCTCCAGGACCCAGCAGCGTTCTCTGTCCACTGCTCTAGCCCACTCCCTACCCCACCCCCACCTGGAGCCCCTAACTCAGGATTCGGTATCCAGGGCCACCTCCCTATCTCAGCTAACCTCTGGACCAGGAGAGCAGACCCAGATCCCGCTACCTCCATGAGAGCTGCTGACAGAATGGGGGCCAGGGCAGTGTCCAAGCTGCAGCTAGCACTGCTGTTTGTATTGGTGCTGGGGACACCGAAGTCAGGGGTCCAGGGGGAGGAAGGGCTGGACTTCCCTGAGTACGATGGTGTGGACCGTGTGATCAATGTGAATGCAAAGAACTACAAGAATGTGTTCAAGAAGTATGAGGTACTGGCCCTCCTCTACCATGAGCCCCCTGAGGATGACAAGGCCTCACAAAGACAATTTGAGATGGAGGAGCTAACCCTGGAGGTGAGTAGAAGATAGCAGGCCTCAAGAGCATGCCCAGCCCCCTCTGTGAGCCCCATGTGTGAGGGTGGTGGCTGGGGTAAGAGCATCACAGGGCCTTTGTCTTCACAGCGAGCATGACTGGAATGCGGCCCTAGCCAGAAGATCAAAGACTCGGGGACCAAGGTCCTACCCTTCCTTTGGTAACTTTAGGGTCAGTGCTGTAAGGGTCTGCACCCTCTGTGCTGTAGGAGGCAGGGGTACTAGGTTTGGCTGGGATGGTGGGGAGCTGCTTGCTGTACTATGCATTGTGCTCCATACCACCAATGTACTCTCCTAGCCAAAAGATGCCCCTCTCACACTCTTGGGGCTGTACGCCAATATCCCAATAGCAGGAATGTAAACATGATATTTTATTTATCTATAACTGATTTAATGACTACATGGTTAAATAGCTTCTCAAGCCCCCGGGCCCCCAGCCCAGTCCCTCTCATTCCTCCAATTCCTCCTTTGTCCCTACTGGATCAAACAACTGTCCTCAGTAGAAAATTCTTGTGGTTGAAGGAGACTTCAGCATGCCTTCCCCTTCTTTTCTTTCAGAGAAGAGATTTCTTTTCCTTTCAGGCTGACTTTACCCACAGCAGAGACGGTTAATACACAAAATAATAACAATAATGCAGGGTGTGTTGTGGGGGGGTCTTTATAATTGGAATACATGGCCATGCACATCCTTAAGGGAACTAAGATATGTTTGTCTCCTTGTCTGAACTTCCCTGGCCCCTTCTCTGGCTTGTTGGTACTCAGAGGCCCCACTTTGTACAGAGCTTGGAACATTTCAGTGTAAGACACCAGGTCGCAAGCTTGCATTTCTGTGTGCCCTGTTGGGCTCTGGAAACCGCTGTCTGATTAATGAGCCAAGTATTTTTATCCTGAGTGCTCAGTGGCCTCTGCCATCCACCTGCCACCCTCCCTCCAGTTCCCCCAAGGATCACTGTGCTGCAGTGCTGGGTGGGGTACAGCTGCAAAGTATGCCCATGGCAGGAAGAATCAGGGTGGATTGCAGGGTGGGAGCTTGTGGGGTAGTGGCCAGTCTGAGTGACCGAAGACTGGCTAGAAGTGCTACGGGTAAGGAGGTGGTGGACCTGGAGGAAGAGCACTGCTTAGTTTCTGCCAGTGGCTCTCCCTCCACTGGGAGATGAATGGTATCCTCTTGACTTTGTGGCCTTTCCCACCCTGTCAACAATATGACCACTCCCCCACCCCATCCTCCACAGTTCTCACTTTGGGGATCCCAAAGGTCCCGAATTCCCTTATGCTGAGTTTGGTCTTTGATCAGGATGGAAGGCAGGGCCCAGCCTTTCACGGAAGGTGAAACTCCTCAGCTTCCCTCAGGAACATCACAATGAACAGTAAACACTCATGATCTTTGAAAAAGTTGAGCCAAGCCGGGCGTTGGTGGTGCACGCCTTTAATCCCAGCACTCAGGAGGCAGAGGCAGGCGGATCTCTGTGAGTTCGAGGCCAGCCTGGTCTCCAGAGCGAGTGCCAGGATAGGCTCCAAAGCTACACAGATTAACCCTAGGCAGGCCAGGATTGTGGGGTGTCCGGGAGATAGTCTGGGCCTTAACAAGTGGTCAAAGGTCAATGCTTGAGCTTCTTGTTCCTCGGTTGACCTGATAATGGGGAAGCATTAAATGGGGAAGGGGTTTACAAGAATTTACAAGAATTCTAGGGGCTAATTTCAATCCTGACTCTTTCTTCCAGTTAGCAGCCCAAGTCCTAGAAGACAAGGGTGTTGGCTTTGGCCTGGTGGACTCTGAGAAGGATGCAGCTGTGGCCAAGAAACTAGGTAAGGAAGGGGAGAGGGGCACGAAGCAGAAGGGGATGGAAGACCAGAGAGGCCTACATGGAGGACTTGGGGGAAATCTGAGGGGCTCAGGAGCTCCTCAACTGCATCTATTCTGAAGTCGGGAAGGGGGTCAAGGTTGGAGACTAGTCTGTATGGAGACCCATGTGTGCTCCAATCCCAGCACGAGATGGGGTGGGGTGGGGTGGTGGCCTTCTTTATGCTTATCTAGAAAATGGCTAAGGCTGGGCATGAGCATGGGCATGGTGGCTCATTCTTGTCAGTAAAATTGTGGGCTCAAAGCCTCCTGGGTTACATAGTAAAGCAACAACAACAAAAAAATGCATGTAGATACTTTGCTTTGTATACTAACCTAAACAATTTAGTTTAAAAAAAAAACAGGAAAGAAAAAGAAACACAGCTAGGTGTTGGAAGGAAGGGGAAATCAAGGAATATAGGCATAGCCAGAGAGACCTTCTGCAAAGTCCTTTTTCAACTCTCCTCTTTCCCTCCCCATTTCCCCCCCTCCCCCCTCTTAGCAGAGCCCAGATGTTACATCACCCGGCCACCAGGCGGCAGCACAGGCTGGACACCGGATGTGGATGGGGGAAGGGTAGTTAGCAACAAGTCATCTGGCCGGCAATAGCAGAGAAGCAGCTCCTAGAGTCTGCAGAGATGCTGACAGGAATAGCCATCCCTGTCTATGTAGGCAGAGCAAGGGAGCTGTGTTGCTAGAATCTGCATCCTTCCGGTTTCCTCCCCCTCAGACCCTACCTGCTCCTCCCATCCTACCCCTTGCCCCAGCTTCTTAGCCTGCCTGGCTGTGAGGCTAGCTCCTGAACTAAATCCAGAGACATGGACATAGGAATGCAGGCTTTAAGGGCTTGTTGAAGGTAGGTGGGGGAGAGAAATGGAGAGGTAGATGATAAGTTTACTGGGATTATCAAGCGGACTCTAAACAGAAGTTAGACGCAGAAGGCTGGGCCATAGCTCACCTCCCATGTGCTCCTTAGGACTAACTGAAGAGGACAGCGTTTACGTGTTTAAAGGCGATGAAGTCATTGAGTACGATGGCGAATTTTCTGCGGACACTCTGGTGGAGTTTCTTCTTGATGTGAGGATTCCCCTGAACCTGACATCCTTGGAGTTTCCAATGCCCCTTAGTCTCTAATTTACCCTACACCCCTACACACACCACAGACACCACAAACCAGACACACACACATACTACATATGCTGCACATATACCACATGCAACATACAATAGATATCACATACATATATGACATAGGTCAGACACAATGCACACAAAACATCCATGGACCACACATACATGCTCACACATGTAACACACATCACATTTATGTACCACATATACCAGACCCACAACATACATACATACAATGCACGCTCCTATGCAGCACACATGACAGACAACATACACACACATCACACATAACATGCAACATACACAATTTATATCAGACATCTACTTTGCGCATCAGACCCATAAATAAACCCCACATACAGCATCACAAACATAAACCCCATGCCAAACAGAAGCTACAGAACACATACATCACACGTTGCACAACACTGAGACTACACACATACAGCATTAACAGTGTACAGCACACGGGCCACACGCCCACCCTCTACCAACATCTAACTCCTCTTCTAGTCCCCGCCTTTTCCCTGGATCCCTCTCTGGGTCCTGTCAGTGAGGACAGAATTGATCTGCTCAATGTGCTTGTTCCTGCAGGTCCTAGAAGACCCTGTGGAATTGATTGAAGGTGAACGTGAGCTGCAGGCATTTGAAAATATTGAGGATGAGATCAAACTCATTGGCTACTTCAAGAGCAAAGACTCAGAGCGTGGGTAACAGCTCCACTGCTCCCCTCTCTGGCCCTGCATGTCACCTGTCCTCCTGCCTGCTCGTGCCGGTGGCTCAGCATCTCTGGCTCTGAACTCCCATCCGTCTCCTTCCTTCTGCTCATCTGTCCTGTACTCTGGGGCGTTCCCAACCCCACTCCCACCACAATTCTATTTATTTTATTCTCGGAGAACTAGAGGTTAGAGGGGATGGGTCTCCTTGTGGGACCCACATGTCAAGGAGGATCTGCAGAGAAGCCAGGGGGGATGATTCTCTGGCAGACCCTGAGAATGACGATCCCTTCTTCCCCTCAGATTACAAAGCCTTCGAGGATGCAGCTGAGGAGTTTCATCCCTACATCCCTTTCTTCGCTACTTTCGACAGCAAGGTTCTCTTCTCCATAACCACACCGAGTCTCCCTACACTCTTATGTTGCCCCAGCCTTCTCTCCCCAAATTGATAGGGTCTTGGTCTCATTCTACATGCTGGCACTCCCCACCCCAAACTCATCCCTTCCTTCTCCTATAGAATTGAAGAGGAGGGGGCCATTAGATTGTCTAACTCACCTTTGTCATGTTTAATTAACCCAGAGAGGTTAAGACACTCCCCCAGTGTCACTGTGGTAGTGACAGAGACCCACATTTTCTGTCTCCTTTTCTGCAACCTGTTTCCCTTTATACTAGTTCTTACTCCGACCCTTCATCTACTCCACGACTCTTGTCTGTTTCCTCAAAGGTGGCAAAGAAGCTGACTCTGAAGTTGAATGAGATAGATTTCTATGAGGCCTTCATGGACGAGCCTGTGACCATCCCAGACAAGCCCAACAGTGAAGAGGAGATTGTCAGCTTCGTGGAGGAACACAGGAGGTGGGGAGGGAGTAACCCTCTTCCTGGGGCAGCTTCCTCCTGGGGCTAGAACACCAGTCTATGAGGCGGGCTGGGAAACGCAAGCCAACCTGAAAGCCAGTTTCCGCTGGAGATGAATACACTTCCGGGAATTGGTGCTCACTGATAGATACACTAGTAGTTCTGCACTATATTCTGTAGCCTAGAACTTAGCCCTGAGCCCTACATGGAGAAAGTCCTCTGTAAATGTGTATGGACTGTGGGGCTTATTATGATTTAAGTAATTTGTCAACAAATGAGTAGTGAGTATCTGTGTTCTGACCAGGGACTTACAAGGCACCTTCTCTCTACTGTTAATTTCATTCTTTTATCGGCCTTGAGTGAAGGCTCAAGGGGAGGAAGAGTAGGAAATGGGATTTAAGCCTTAGCTCAGCTCCACACCTCTTCTCATTCTCCACACTAGCAGTTGTCAACAGAGATAGAGGGACAAGGATTTTGCTTTCCAGTGGCTGTTAGGCAATGTTTCCAAGACATTTTTGTCTGTGAGGACTGTTGCTGGTATTCAGTAATTAGAGGCCAGAGATCCTATTAAGCATCCTACTGTGCACAGGGCACCCCCTCCCCTCTGTGTCAGCGGTGCTGATGCTAGGAAACCCTGCAATACTCACACACAATTCTCTTTCTTCATGTGACTCCACAACTAGAAATACCCACTCATCAGTCTAAATACCACTTACTCTCTCCCACTAGATTCTGGCCTGTTTCATTAGGGCACCACGTGTTTGCATAGTTTAACTCTACCCCACTCAGTCCTTATAATGTATCTCAGCCCCCTCTCTCTCCTGGCACATATTAGGTGTGTAATTCTATTGAGCCCAGGCGGTCAATTTTATTGAATGAGCAAATGAAAAAAAAAAAGACGACTACCCTGGTATCCAGTTCTTACCTCCCCTGCCCCAAAGTCTCTCTTCCAGCCCTCCCCTTCCCACTAACCATTGTTTTGCAGCCATGCAATGATCCGATCCGGGCCTGATGCCCAGAGCTTAGATTTGCTAGTTGGCTTTGTTAAGGGATACAAGCTGTCTATGCCCTAGGCCTGACCCAGTGATGGCTTCAGCTGTGGGGACCTTCTGGAGGGAGATGTTCTTCTCATGAACTGAGTAGGGACCCTGTCTCTCTCCTAGATCAACCCTGAGGAAACTGAAGCCTGAGAGTATGTATGAGACTTGGGTGAGTACCTCTCCCAGGACCCGGTGCTTGGGGAGCAGGGGTGGGTACAAGTCTTAGAAATGGCCCTTCCTGTTCTTCCTTGTGCCTTCTGCAAGAAAAAAGAGAGAGAGAGAGAGAGAGCAGTACCTCAGTCAAGGGACAAGGATTTTTGTACTGAAGAACGCATCTCGGGTGACATGCATAAGTGAATGAATATGACAAGGTAGATTCAAACTCTGAGGGTTACCAGAGCTGAAAAAGTGTCACTCATAAGAGTCACCACCATGAAAATACAAGCTGGCATTCTATGATGCAGACTCAGGCAACTCCAAGAGGCTGACAGGAGTAGAGTAAGGTCTCCCTCAGCTCTAACCCTGCCCCTGTCCTCATCCTCCAACAGGAGGATGACCTGGATGGAATCCACATTGTGGCCTTTGCAGAGGAAGCTGATCCTGGTGAGGAAGGAACCCTGGAGTGGCCTGGGGGAAGCCAGGAGTGGGTGGTGTGTTTGTTGGATCATAGGCCTCACACGGAAGGCATTCCTGGGAGTTTGAAAGCAGCCTGGGGCCTGAAATGTGTTGGTGTAAGAGGCAAGAGAACAGGATTGGATTCCTGTCCTCTCCTTTCTGCTCTAAATCACTTTCCTCCCTTTTGCCCTCCCCAAGACGGTTATGAGTTCTTAGAGACTCTCAAGGCTGTGGCCCAAGACAACACTGAAAACCCTGACCTTAGTATCATCTGGATTGACCCTGATGACTTCCCACTGGTAAGAGGCCCTGCTCAAGCACTGGGATCCTAATGTGGGGACTTGGCCTGGGGTGCCTTTTCTTTTGTGGTTGTTTCAGAATGCCTATCCCCAGTTCCTAGTTGGAGACCCAGAAAGTTATGCCTGCTGCATGCTCATGAGCATTAGAGGGGATCCTGAGCTAGGGGAACAGGAATGAGAAGTGAATTGCATGGGGTGTAATATGTGATTCCCAGATCAGAGGCGGACAGGTAATTAGTGTGCCAGAGCTGAAAAGCAGTTCTCTGGTGAGCAGCTGGATTCAACTCTGCCCATGAATGTATATTCAGAGAATCAGCAGATTCCATGATCCAGGAGACAGCACTGTCCTCAGCTGAACCCCCAGCATCTAACATATATTTGTTTGGATGAGCAAACAAAGATGTGACAGAATACAGATGATTGTCAGGTATAAGTACTTAAGTTAAGACACGTAGGACCCGGGCTGTCGAGATGGCTCAGAGGTTAGGACCTGAGTTCAGTTCTTAGCACAAATGTCTGGTGGCTGTTCAGCAGGGGAACTGGTGAACACATACTCTTCTGAAGTTATGCACACTTGTGGTAATCACTCATACAAACACACATAAGTAAAAATAATACAAATAAATCTTAATAAAAGAGAGCTATAAGAACAGAGGGCTCTGCAGAGAGAAGTGAGGTGCCCAAAGGTACACAGGCAATCATAAGCAAACCCAAGAACAAAGCAGGTTTTCCATTCTTCTTTGAAGGGAGAATCTGCCTTCCTCATCTTTTTCCTTAGAGGGTTCTACTCTTTCACTGATTAGCTTTACCTACAAGCTTGTGGTCTACGGCTGGGCTGTCCTTCCATCCATCGCCAATTCATCCTGCCTCCTTTTGTACCTGGCCTGACTCTCATCCTCTGATGGACTCGTGTACTCCTAACCTCTATTAAGTTGACATATTTGGTTCTCTCCACAGTTGGTCCCGTACTGGGAGAAGACGTTTGACATCGACTTGTCAGCTCCACAGATAGGAGTTGTCAATGTTACAGACGTGAGTGTCCGTTCCTGGCTATGCACCACATCATTTCCCTCCCACCCAGCTACTAACCAGGCTCAACAGTGCTTCGCCTCCAAGATCAGATGAGACTGGGTGCGGTTACGGTGGTATGGCCTTAGACAGAGCACCAACTCATCTCGGTATAGCTAGTTCTCTTCCACACTGTTGCTAAGTAGGAAGCAAGCGCTGCCCGGGAACAAGGAATATCCCAGTCTAATGGCTGGACCTGTGGGGTTGGAACGCATGACCTGAGCGTTTGAATCATCCACTCACTGGAACCACCTGGTCTTTCTTCAAAGTCCAGTTCAACTTCTTATCCTCCATTAAGTTGTCCTTTGGAATTATTCCCTCTATGGCACCTCACCCTTGGAGCTCACTGGCATTGAGAACCTTGCCTTTTAGCATCCTATCTCTTCTAGCAGATTCTTAATATTTGGAAGGCAGAGATCTTCTGGTGACCACATAGTTGACATTTATTTGTTGAGCAGAATTGAACAGCACAGCTTTTGCTTTCATAGTATTCTCAGTCTAATGGAATAGGCAAGCATTCTATCCATTGTAAGGCTGGCTCTGATAAATTTTAAGATAAGTAAAATGCTAACAAGGCTGCAATTTCTGCTCGAGAGACTCAGGGTAGTTTAAGAGAAAGTAGTACTACCGTGGAGATCATGTTGTGTACAAGATTTCAATAAGGGTCAAATAAGAGTCTCCAAACTGAGAGTAAAGGGTGGTCAAAGGACAAAAGCAAAGCCAGGCGTGGTGGCACATGCCTGAAATCTAAGCACTGGAGAGGCAGAGACTGGAGCACTGCAGTGAGTTCAAGGCCAGCCTGGGATACACAGCAGAGTATGAGGCCAGCCAGCCAACTCTATAAAGCAAGTGCGCATTATTGTTGTTGTTTGTTTGTTTTTTGAGATGGGGTTTTTCCATACAGCCCTGGCTGTCCTGGGGCACACTTTACAGACCAGGCTGGCCTTGAACTCATGGATCTATCTGCCTCTGCCTCCCAAGTGCTGGGATTAAAGGTGAGAGCCATCAAAAGCATATCTTAAAAAAATAAGTTAAAAAACAAACAAAACACTAACAACAAAAAGTCAGCAAAAAAGTGAATATCAGGTTTGAGAATAGGCAAGTCTTTTTAAACAGAGTTTTAGAGTTTAAGATTGCTGAAGCTAATTGCTAGAAAATCATTCTGTGACAATCCTTGAATGTTAGCCATGAGTAGCCACCAATGCTTTTACACCGCAGACATGACAGAAATGTTTGCTTTCAGCAGCACAGGATGGCAACAGTAAAGGGAGAGACTGAAGTGAGGTCTTTAGCCAGTTCACCTTTTCTTTCTGCTCATATCCATCGCTATTCCAACTCTGATCTTCATTAGGATAGTTCCTCTGGCCACTGAAGGATACAAGGAAGGGATGAAGGATGTAGAGTGAGTGGGAGGACAGGTCCAGATCTGTATTAAACTTAGCTTCCGCCTCCTATCTGTGTCATCACCTAGGCGGACAGCATATGGATGGAGATGGACAATGAGGAGGACCTGCCGTCTGCTGAGGAACTGGAGGACTGGCTGGAGGATGTGCTGGAGGGTGAAATCAACACGGAGGATGATGATGACGAAGACGACGATGATGATGACGACGACGATGATGACTAGTTGCTATGGCAACCACCTACCAGCCCCACTTGCTCTTTACACGTGCCTTCCTACCCTCCACGCACTTCCCTGAGCTCCTCGGGACACTAGGTCATTCTTTACTATAGGGCCGACTGTGGTCTGTATACAGGGTGCTTGAGGTCCTGGTCTCCTTCACTGGTGAGAAAAGGAGCTGCTTTTCCTGAGATACCAGCCCAGTTCTTTCATCTCTCCTGCTTCTTATCCTATACCTTATCCGTATCTACTGTTTCCTCTCCTGTCACTCCCCATATTTGTGATTCTACTGCCATTTCTTCTCTGTCCCTTCCATCAACACAGTCTCCACTTTTCAAATCTTAAACCTTTCTGACTGTCCTGACCTGGCCGGGAGAAGGGGAGGTACTGTGTTAAGGGATGTATCTCACCCATCTCGTGTTAATGTATTTGGGTCAAATGCAAGGCCTTAATAAAGAGATCTGGGGCAGAATGAGCAAGTGTCTGCTGTTGATGAAGTCTCACCCTTATGGCAGGAGGGAGGCACCCAAAGGCTGGGAGATTTAACTGAGTGCCTTGTTAGGAACAAGCTAGGGGGCTCATCAGCAGGGGTAGGGGCAGGGGCTCACTCCAGGCAGCTATCCCAGGGAAGGCTGGATATTTATCTGCCTCCAGTTAACAAGCTTTTTCTGAACACATGGTGTTTGTCCAGTGCTGTTGTTGGGCTCTGGAGGAACACACAGTGCCAGGCCTGTCCCTTCTCTCAAGCTGATTACCCTTGCTGAGAAGTCAAGACAAACACCCTAGATGACTGAAGACTAACAGAGCAATATGCAATTGACTATGTTGCTGCTTGTGCCCTCCCTGAAGCATTTTATTTGAACGTCAAAATTTGAGTCCACCGTTCTTCCTTAGTGAGGGTCCTTCCAGACCTTGGCGGTCCTGCCATCCTTTCTGTGTATACCTCCATTCTTGTACTTAATACGCCCTGTTCAGTTACACAGCCACTGAATGGAGTCCTGAGGGCAGGCACCCAGGCTGTCTTTTTATTTCCATAGGGTCTTGTACATAAAGACTTCTAAGTCTGGAAAAAGGAGCCCTGAGATTAAAGTTTTCACTCTCCCCAGACAAATCCTGTGCTCTTAATGAAAACGGCAGAAGCATACAGAACACAAATCAAATATTCAATCGACTGTTCACACACAATGGATAACTAATAAGTAATTGGGTATTAGGTTACATCATAAAAAATATGGGGTTTGTTTAGTATAGGTCAGTGACAGCTACCAGACTAAACAACTTCCTGTTTTTTAAGCACTCATCTGGTACCAGTCCCCAAAGACTTACTATTTCTGATTCCCAGTGGCACTAGCATGCTTGTCTGGCTGAAGAGGACACTGAACTTTATGGACTTAATGTCTGAGGACACAGTAAGCGTGAAGTCCATATTCTCTGGGTCCCTCTGCCTGGTTGTTTCATTTAAATAACTACATGTTGTGCAGTTCCTCTGAGTCTCAAAGATGGGTCAACAAGATAGACGTTGGTCCTGCAAAATTAGAAACAAAAGCAAATTCCAAGGATATGCTATCTTCAAAGGGGCCACGGCCAGCCACGCTGAAGGAGAAGAACAAAGAGAAGCACTGTGAAAATTAAGGTGACAGCAACGTGAGCTGCTTTTCCCAGAAGTGTGGCCCCGAGTAGGGAAGGACTCATCTGAGGCTTCTGGCAGGGCCTTTGCCAAGCTGGGACTCAGGCAAGCTAGGGTGTTCTAGTGGCATGCAAACACTGAAGATGTTCACTTTTCGGGACCAGGCACTTTGAGAGTTGAGCTGAGATTCCTTCTGCTGGAGATGGGGTGAAAATCGGATGCTTCTCCAATTCTCCCTTCCCTCTTTCAGTCTGGCTGAGAATCTGGGGGAGGAAAGTCCCTGAGGTGGAGGGGAAGTGAGAATTATCACACTGGGCCTAAGCAGAGGGACAGAGTTAGGAGACAGCTAAGTGTGGCTTTGTTAGTTGTCTATATTTGCATGCTGAGCTCATGGCTTTTTTTCCCCAGAAAATAAAATTACATCAGTGTGTGTGTGTGTGTGTGTGTGTGTGTGTGTGTGTGTAGGGGTGAGTGTGTAGGGGTATATTTGGGAAAGGCAGGAGGAGCTCAGGGATCCAGCTGCTATTATCCAGAAGAGATCATGGCTCCAGGCCAAGTAAAAGAGATTACCCTGTTGCTGCCTGTCCCCATCCCCTTTTCTATTCCTAGCGTGAATAAACTTGGTCATTTTCTACTGATCCTCTCTGACCTATAAGGCTGGGAAGCAGGTTTTTTCAAAGTAGCAAGAGAACCCAGGGACCACAGGCTTTCCAAATCCCCTAATCCAAATTGCTTCCGCCTTCCAGGGGTCCTGACCACCGTGACCATCCAAAGGGCAGAGGGCAGAGGGCAGAGGGCAGAGGGCAGAAAGGCGACCCACTGGGGAAAAAGTAATGTGAGTATTGTTCCACAGTTTAAGTGGAAGAGGCAGAGTCCATACTCGAGCCTAGTCCGGTCCGAATCCTAGGAGTCTTCCAGAACCCCAGCCCACAGTCTCTCTCCCCTCCTGCCTCCCCTCCCCCTTCTCTCGCC